GGCGGCGCAGAGGGGCTTGCAGGAGGTAGGAAGTGGTTGGGTGCAGGTTTTGTAGCTTGCCTTATCTCCCCACGGGCATCGCGTCGTTCTTATAACCTCATTAGAAATATAGGCAAAATTAATTAACATGTCATAGTCGTATCAATGTGTTGGATTCAAAGACGAGTTTAGGATTCGATTAGACTGCGAATAGTTTTTGCAATAATTATTTAAATACCGGGAGACTGCTTACATTGAGGACTTAACAAGGAATTACGGTTACCGTGGAGATTATAATGTTAGACTCAAACTGCTGAACCATTACTAAGTAAGCTCTTTACAATAAGGTTACCTTTTTAAAAAAGATCGTTCGTTATAATCGTTTAACAGCTGAGTGGTCGGTCCGTCTGTAACATGGTCCAGGAAATTTACAGCTATTTTGTTTTAAAACAATCTTGAGTTGAAGACAACAAAATAGTTCACGTACAGAACTTATTACTCTCTAACTTCGAGACACGGACATGTTGTGAGAACTGACTATTGCCTAAGCGAGTATTATTAATGGTTCAGCTATTTGAAATGAAAACCGCATAACCTCTTAGGCGTTAAGATTCGTTATTGCAATATTGTCATAGATCGTAAAACTCATTACTTAATATGTACGTGTCGGAATTGTTAGCAATATTACTTATCGTGCACATATGCCAATTGGAATTTAATCCTTTTTAAATTTAGGTTTTTTAGATGTTAAATGTAGTTCATAGATTATGTAAGATAAGTTTCTAAGGCCGGTAAGCAATTCCAAGTTAGCTGTTATCAGAATATTTACATTTTTATCGTAACCATCCGTATCTGTGATGTGCGCGTCATACCGCGGCACAGTGTCGTTACACAGTGCCGGCGCACATTGCCGAATACCTGCAATCAACAAACACTGCCTTAATAATATTTTTACGATACAGTCAAAAACACCTGCGCCTGAGTTAAAGTCTTCCACTTGGAGTCCGGATCCTTTATCCCTAATTCGTATATATTGATAAGGGTACATATCAACTGAACACGTAGGGCTCGTATTACCTTAACAGCTACCTAAAGCTACACATAACATCACGGCATCAGGCAACATATACCTCAATATACCGGCAACGGCTAGCATTAGAGCGCGGAGTACAATGTGGCCACTGTCCTACACCACTGTCCTGCACCGCTGTCCTACACCGCTGTCCTACATCACTGTCCTATACCACTGTCCTACGCCACTGTCCTACGCCACTGTCCTACACCACTGTCCTACGCCACTG